GCCTCCTCCTCCCCTGCGGCTCCGACCGAGGAGCTGCCCGACTCTGCTCGGGAAAGGTGAGACGCCGCGCGGGATCGGGGCCTGCGCGAGGTAACGGGAGGAAGCGGAGCCCCCTCGACCACTCTGACCGCGGCTAGAGGAGGAGGAGGCGTCCCGGCCGCCCCCGTCCCTCGAATAAGAGAGGGATCCCAGGGTGGACCTTTGTGCGAAGAAGCCAAGGAAATTGAATGCGTGGTAATGGGGAAGCCGAAGGGCGCAAGGCTTTTCGCCTCTCGGGGACGAGAAATGGGGACTCTTCATAGTAACAATAGCTGATGGGGGGGTGGTAAGGGAAGTAGACTGCGAGTCAGAGGGAGTATCTCCAAGTCCACTGTGCAGAGACTGGACAGAGTGAATTGCTTTCCTGCATACGATGCGGGCTGTACTTGCACAACAGACAAAACATGATTAAGTGAGCCATGGTTTACTCAATAGCCCGTTTCGTTGGGTTTGCAGAGCCCAGCTGTTGAATAAAGTAACCATACTGGCTAGGTTGGTGCAATATGCTAAAGCAGAAACTAGCCAACTGCATTCTAGACTAGTGCGTTGCATGACCCTAGCTACGTGTGTGAGTGGCAGGACTGCAGACCTGGGAGAACTGCACACCTCTTTCTCAGACTTGTTCGTGACCAAGAGATGCACTTCTGCTTTGTGGCAAAGGCTGAAGGAAGCATCAGTGACACCAGGCTTGAGCCATTCCAGTGTCAGCTCGGCATGGTGATGAGAAAAGCTCCCTTGCCCCATGAAGGAGGCCGGTGGCTTCCTTTGGTACCCATTGCTAATTTTAAAGAGTGAAAAATAATCAGAAGCTCATCAGCTTCTGGCTTTTTCCCAGCACTAAGTTAAAGTGCTATTTCCCCATCCTGGAGGCTGCAGGAACCTGTATGAAATTTGCCGTTCTCAGCCAGTCCCGATATTGCTTCTATTTGCAGTTATCTGATTTATCTCTCAGGTAATGTGTGACAAAGCCTGACAGATTTTATATACTTACTTAGGCAGTGTTGGAATTGGGGAGTGGGGTGGGGGCAATACTGTTTTAAATTAGTGCAGATAAAGATCACTTAAGACTGTTGCTCTCATGGACTGGGAAGGATATGAAGACAATGTCATAGGAATGGTGTAGAAAAAAGATGTTGCCAGGGCATGTTTGTACAGGGGAAAGATCCTCAAACTGGCTCTGATGCTGCTCTATTATCTGGTCATTCACAACATCCCTAGCTTTAGGCTTGCTTTGAAAAAAACAGATTCCTCTTATGGAAACTTATTGTTTCTTATGGGTCAGAAGCCTGCTGCTTACACAGTTTTATCTTTGGCCTCCCGTTCATATATTTAGTAAAATGTTGTAAAGAGATTCATGCTAAATCAATGAACTCTGGAATGACAGGGAAATCTTTGTGGCAGGCTCAGTAACAGAGTCTGAATAAATCCTGTTATAAACAAATTGATGTTGGACATCCGTGCTGTGCCATGAAAAGCTGGATGCAAATGAGCAAAGCAAGCAAGTTTGCTTACATTAGCTTATTGTGCCCAATTCAGCTCCGGATACTGTGCAAGTTTTATTTGATAGATTCCTGCACTGCAGTTTCACTTGCCTCAGCAGTGTGGCAAATTAAGAATTCCTTCTCTAACCAAGAAGAAAGGACTAAAATTTAATGGTGCATATTACCGGGATGACTTTTAGGAGATTGTTTGGTGCATTGTCACCTTGCCAATTATTTTGTTTCTGGAAACTGTTGGCTGTTGGACCTTGTGGGTATCAGGCTTAGACTTCTGTTTGTATGTTAAAGTTATAGACAGCTTGACTACTCTTACCTCATTTCCCTCTTGTACATTTCCTTCTTGTGTTCAGCTCCCCTGGCAGGATCAAAGATATTTATGGCCCAACTGTCCAAGTAGGATTGTAACTTATATTTGCATGCTACAATTGAAGTCCTTCCAAACTGAGCAATAGTTCTTGAAACCTCATTTTTAGTATTGTTTGAATAGACAGTCAATTGCACATGCCATTTAAGTATGGAAATGGGAATGATGATATGCAGTTCTTTAAAAATTCAGTGGAAAATATCTGCAGAGAGTCAGCGAGAAAAAACAGCCTTGGGGCATTTGCAAGGGAGACATACAATATTAATGTGGCTTCTGAGAAGTGGAATGTAGATGGTATGCAGGTAGGCCTTTCTTAGAATTCTTGATGTAGCTGTTACTGTTTTCTCCTAGAATGCATACTGAGAAGTGATTTTTAGATTGAAATGTCTACATTCACATTTCCATTTGCGTTGGGGGCAGACATTGGTACTGAGGATAACATGCATCAGGCTGAAGACTTTGCATCTTTTAGAAATGTTCTAATACATAATGCTACGATGCTGTGGCTTGCAAGTGTTAACATGAGTGTGAATGGATACAGAAAATAGATAACCCTAAAAAGCTATGTAAGCTCCCTACTTCGCAGTTGTGGTTTATTTTTGTATTGAGGGCAAGTGTCAGCCAAGTGCTTGTCTTCTCTTACCCTGAAGTATAGATGGTAGATTATCAGGTGTGGTTGGCTGGGGATATCATTTGATATACAGTGATTGAGAGTAAGATGTCCCCCCCAACTCTTTTTTCTTTCCCTGCAACTGTTAGAAAGAAAATACTATAACATTATGCCTAAGTCACAAATTACAAAGAATCCTGTTTTCAACTTTGATAAAGTGCAGAATCTGGATTATGTGGTGCAGACACTGATGATCTGTATGGTACATGTTTTTTTTCCTTTGGAGCCACAAAAAATTCAGGGGAAATGTGGGGTTCCCATTGTTATCTTTTTTCCCATGTTGTTAATATAGGGGTTGAGAGATACGTTGCAAGGGAGGATGAGCAGGAATACATATCATCTGTTCTCCCTCCAAATGCCTGAAGGCTGTTTTTTTCTTGCTGACCCTCTGTAGCCTATATTTTCCACTGAATTTTTAAAGAACTACATATCGTCATTCCTGTTTCCATGCATAAATGGCACGTAGAATTGACTGCCTATTCAAACAATACGAAAAACGAGGTTTCAAAAATGCATCCATTGTTACATTCTGATGAAAATAGCATATTAGGGCTCCAGACTTGGTAGTGGCACAGCCGGGAGCAATATCGCTGACGGGTTTTAGAAAGAAAAATCAGCAAGCCAGGATTACATTCCTTTCCCTCTTACTACCAGTACTCCCTGCATGGATCCCTTCTGTCTATGCATTCTCTGTTATCTTGGCAAATGTCGGGTTAGAAACATGAATTTGCAAGTATAATACCCAGTTTGAAAGTTTGCTTATTATCCTGTGAGATGACTAAGAATAAAATGGGAGTTCAGCAAAGTCAGATCTTATTTCAGATTTTCTTTCAGCATCAGTTCTGATATCTACAATGTGGGGTAATAATGCCAGTATTATAGAATTGAAGAGGTAAATATTAATACTTGGCTGACAAAGCTGGACTGCTGAGGCTGTTCTTTCTGGCCTGATGGAGGTGTAACTATGCTGTGATGAAAGATGAGATATCCTCCATAGGCACCATTAAGGGCAGGAGGCCGAAGATGACACAGCCATTTCCTAGCTTAGACCTATTGAACTGAATGGGCGCTGGACAACAGTATCGTATTTGTATCCCCTGTTCATTAACCGGAAGAAGAATCCCATTTGGTTTTCCTTTTTTTGGTCCCAAAGTGTCTCACGCTGCCTCTGCTCCTGTTTGAAATCAAAACCTTATCGAATTTCCTTTTTTTAAATGTTAGGCCCAGCAAAGAGTGGACCGAAGCCATGTGTTCCTGCCAGCAGATTGTTCCACTACGATTTTAAGGACACCGTTTACTTGGTTTCAGAAACCCCAGAGTGCTGGAGGCAGAGGTAGCTGTGCATCATTCCTGTTCCCCCTCTGTGGGGAAGAGGAGAGTGTATTAACAGATTATGGATCTTCTGACTCGTCCAAGTGGAGATATTATGCGGCGGAATCCACAGCAAGACTACGAGCTCATCCAGCGAGTGGGGAGTGGCACCTATGGAGATGTCTATAAGGTAAGGGCAACAAATTTTTCTTTGCCAGCTGAGAGAGCAAGTTGGAATTCCTACCCCCTTCCTTTTCTGGAAATAGCTTGAATTGCTTCATGGATCTTGCAAGATGATACACCATTAGTTATTGGATGGATTTGTATGGATTGAATTCAGCCTTAATTGGATCAGTTTGGTTTAGTATAGTGTAGTGTAGTGTGTGAACTGGCCATCATAGTATGGAAGCCAAGCTCATCCATGTTCATCTAAGAAACTTACAGCTTCGCTGAACCTGGAAAAATGCATATACGCTTTTCTCATTAAAAACAAATTATCTTTCATCATAGCAACTTAATTGACTGACTTAAGATTTAGTCTTCTGTTTCTAGCCTGCATCCTTTGTGAATTCATGTAGACATTTGACTTGATTATATATGGTGCTGTATTAAATGTGGTATTTAGAAACAATTCTACCATGACCTGAAGGAAAATAATGGATTTTTGAAGGGGCCAATTTTGAGTGCTATAAGAAAGACAGTAGCAGTGGGAGAGAAAACCCATTGAAGAGAATAGACATTGTGCATGAGATGAGTAGTTCCTTTCATTGAAACTTACAATGGGGAAGTTAATAGGGGGGTTTGCTCCATGAAGATTAGTGGGAAGAGCATTTTGATTTTTTACTTGATCCAATTATTAGCCTCCTTTAAGTTGTATTGCAGATATCTGTCTGTCTGTCTGTCTGTAAAATATTTAGCTGGGCTGGAATGAACAGATATACACTGTGTGGGCATTTATCACCCAAGAAATTGAAAAATCCTAGGTATATGGTTGTTTGAACTCCTAGACTGCCTTTAATATAATGCAGTCTTGCCAGCACTGGATATGTCTTAAGAGAACTTGGGATAATTTATGGTTGGTAGAGGGTGCTTTCAGAAGCAGGGGAGGAAACCTCTCTTGAACAATATATGTACTTTGATTGTGTCCATGTTATATAAGGACAGAACTTCAGAATATTGATTAATACTCAAGGTTCTTTTAACTAGTAATCATATTAGTTTGCTTGTGTATTATATCTGTTGATATCCAGCTGAGCTGTGAATTGAGTGCAATTCTTGTGTAGAGCTCACAGCAGCTTTCAGTTATAAACTGAATATCCTAGGAAACTGTATTCTAGTTCCACTAACTGAAATTCCATAGTTTTTAAATAAATGTGTCCTACGAGTCATTTCTGTAGAAACAGTGAAATGATTCAGCATTTATATTCTGCTTAAATGCCTCTAACTTAAGTTATTCAGTAAACAGCTCTTAGGGCTGTCTGGATTGAACATTTATTTAGCTACTGTGGAATTCCATGTTCTCAAAAATAAAACTTCTGATTTTTTTCATTAACACCATTTTATAATTCATCTTTCAATTCTGAAAGCATGAAGCAGATTACCATATTAAAAGTGCATGACAACATTTATTTGAAATCTTTCTAATTTTCTGCCTTTAAAGGCATTTTTCCCAACGTGTGGTACATAAAAATAAAACATAACTTAAACTAGCATTAAAAATATTGAACACTAGAAAAGTTAAAACTGCCCTCAGTACTAAAAATCCTAATTCCAATTGGAACCCTGACAGGTACTGATTATGTGCCATCAAGTTGGTGTTGATTATCACTTCTTTAGGATATTCTGGGGAAGACTCTGAAGAATAAATGGATTTGCTCTTTAGGGTTTAATTCAAAGCTGACAGTGATGGGGTATCCAGGGGGTAAGGCACTCATCCCCTAGTGAATCCAGAGGGTAAGGCATTCTAGAAATGTCCTCAGATGAGGGCAAGAGAGAAGGACCTGGCCATAAAGGACAGGTAGATTGATACAGGTGAAACAACCTGGTCCCAACAGTTTAAACAGTTTAAAGCTTTAAAGTTAAGAATCAGCACATTGAACTGGGCTTGAAAATGTTGGTGTAACATAGCAGTTGCATATTCTGACCAGCTTGCCCTTGGCAGTGCCCAGTCTTCAAAGGATGCCCCATGTAGAGCACATTACAGAGCTTAATTTGGATGTCAGTACTCCATGAAATAAGAAAGCATGTTTTAAACATTCTGCAAGTAAGAGTGGCAGAAATGAGGGTATGGCTACTGAAATGACAATTCAGAACTTCCCCAAAGGAAAACTGAGCAGGGCCTGGGCCTGAATCTTAAAGATGCTTGGTGTTGAAGTCATTTCTGAATACATGTTGCTCCATGCTGTTACGTTAGTGTTGGAAGTGGAAGAACACATTGGAGGGGCCAGTGTTACACTTGTGTTACATATCAGCAGTAATGTGGGAGTGCGACTTCAGTGTTTGATGTGCCCTGCTTCCCAGTGGCAAGTAGGTCAGAGTATTGCAATTTGTTTATTTTATTTGGACAACTGGTGTGCAATGATGATGTTTGTAGCAAACAGCCGTGCCTTTTGTCCCAGTCACTTTTTAAACTGTCTGGTATTTGTTGTTATTACTTTTATTAGGATTTATTTATTTATTTGTTTGTTTGTGTTGTACAAATATATACTATGTAGTCAGAACTAATTCCAAATAATATAAGCACTATATGTTCTTTGTTTTTTAAAGAAAGGAAAAGGGGAGAAAAAAGCAAGAAATTTGTATGGCAGGCGAAACAGCTCAAGAAGATTTGACCAGATTGTTCAAAATCCTTTTTCTTTCCCCTCTTTTGTAAAAATATTAATGCAAATGTTGTCCAACAACAAATACAACTGCAAAACATTTTCCATTTGTCTCAACTGAATGGAAGTTAATTGCTTTTTTGATTTAGCAACTAAATATTCCTGCCTCTTATTATTTGAGTCTGAGTTGCCATAGAGGTGGTTTGATTTTAAATCAGTGTTCTTATAATTTATATGTATAAAGAAGTCTAAGGTTTTATAAATATGGTTTTCATCCAAATAGTGCTTGGATGAAATCCTGTCTTATCCCCTCTGGTGCTCTATGTAATATTGTGAACTTTAGCATAATAAATACAGAAGTCGCAGGAATACAGAGACCTCTTACTGTCTGTATTCCTGAGCCTCTTCAAGTGGGTGAGGGTTTATATATTTGTTTCTAAAGGGAACATAGCACTTATAGGGCCTGATTAAAAAGTACATTAACCCTAAATTAATAATTGCTTTTAAGAATCAGAATCAGATAAAGACAGATATACAATTCGCAGCACATTTGAATGTTCGTAATTCAGTATAGTACTTGCTTCTTTGATTTTCTGTCTTAGACCATTCATATGGTTACCCTGAATTCTAGATGTTAATCCTGTGCAATTGTAATAATATTGCAAAGACTCCTTGCAGCTCGTAATAGAAATGAAAGATGCTGCCGTAGACTGACTCAAGATACTGAGGCCCTTGGTTGGGCTCTCATGTACATTGCAAAGTAATCCAGGAAGTTTTTTGAAGAGTGGAATAAAAGCCTAAAATAAACAAGTAAAAGCAGATAAAGCTGTCTGTCTTTTGTTGCTCCCTTCAGCTAATGAGAATGGTGTGATAGCTGAAGGCCACGAAGTCCTTTGCTTGAATCTCCTCTTGGCTCCTAATTCACCTGGTGGCCTTGAAAGCAGTTGCTGCTCATGTGCCGCAGTGTTTCTTTTTTTATATTTGCAATATGGATGTACAGGTAGTCCTCACTTAACAACGGTAATTGGGATAGGCAACTCCATCGCTAAGTGACATGGTCACAAAGTGCGATGTCATGTGGCCACACTGATGTACGGTGGCAGTTGCGGCAGTTCTGGTTGCATTGTTAAGTGAATCCCGTGTGGTTGTTAAGCACAATGTCACATGATTGCTGACTTCTTGCCAGCTTCCCCATTAACTTTGCTTGTTGGAAGCCAGCAGTGAAGGTTATAAATGGTGGTCATGTGACTGCAGGACCCTGTGATCATAATTGCAAGCTAGTTGCCAAGCGTCCGAATTGCGATCATGTGACCATGAGGATGTTGTGATAGCCACACTAAGAGGACTGGTCAAAGGTCTCCTCATTCAGCACCATTGTAACTTTGAATGGTCGCTGAACGAGTGGTTGTTAAATGAGGACTACCTGTAACAACTGTGACCTGCATTATAATGCTAATATAAGCTTGCCTGAAAATATTCAAAATGCCACCATAACATACAGAGTGTATATTTATTTGATAGACCTGTTAATCAGACTTTGCATCATATGTAGATATTATTTGAGGAGTGGTGTGGTTATGGGCTAAAGAGGAACTGAATTCCTTCCTCCACTCAGAGATCATAGTATCTGTTCCTGTGCTGTGTTTCTAAAGAATCAAATCAAACTCAAGTTTTGGAAGTTGTTTTTTATGTTCATTGGTTTGTCATGTTCTCTTCTAGTATGAAGATTTGAAAGGAACTCCAGTCTTTGTTAATGAGAAAGCCCTCCGGATGCTTTTTATGAATACATTTAAGTACATGCATTTTTTGGAGGAGTTGTCTCAGCTGATGCTAAACTGCACCATTCTTTTTAATCCATTGAGTATTGAATTGGAAGGAATAAAAGGTGAACTGGGTCTAAACTAGGGATTGGCTACCTATTCAAGCACTGCAAAGGAAAAAAAGAAGAAATATATTCATTTTTAGTTGTCCAAATCTTGTGCGTCTGTCAAATCTATCAAGATGTCTGTGGTGTTCCCCATGAGGTCTTGTGAGATCTCATGCAGGAATGTAAAGATCTCATGAGATACAGCAAGCTTGCCACATTTTTGCTATTTTAATTTAATATATTTATATTTTTAAAATGGGGGGTTGAGCAAGCATCCAGCCTGTTGAGGCAAAGGCTAAAAACATGGAGGGGGCAGAGTTGTCCGTGGAAATGTCACTTCCATCATCACAAGCCACTGAGTCTCTTGTCTTCTGATGTCACTTACAAGCAGAATCCCTCTTCTGACCTTCCCTCTCAACATGCAGATATTGTGCTATATCCCTTCCTTCCTTCCTACTTTTAGTTTTCACGTGAATAGGCTGAATGTCTGTAAAAAGCCTGTAT